ACTACAACAAAAATGTCACTACAATAAATTTACACTTTAGTGACACAACACTAGTGGCATGTTTTTAGAAAATGCCACAAAAATAAAAATTGACATTAAATATTTTAGAAAAATGTCACAGAACCACAAACATATATGGCTCTAGTGGCATTTCAATAAAGAAATGTCATATCAATTTTATGGCATTTTATAAAATAATGATACAAAAAATTATGCTCGTGACATTTACCAACAGATGCCACTAAACTTTAGCCGCAATAGCATTTTTTAAAAAATGTCAGGACACTAGGTAGGTGCAAATTACTTTTTATGGCACTTAAGTAAAAAGTGTCATAAACAAATATTTTATAACATTTTGAGAAATGCCACTAAGCTAAAAATTTTCCAAGTTTATAATGGCATTTTTGAAAAAACAAAAAATGCCAATATATTTTCTACATTTTTAAAATGCAGTAAATAATTAAAAATAAATAAATTAAACTCAATATACACTACAGGAAAAAGCACATTCGGCGACTAAATTTCTTGATCAAAAAAAATTTGGTCGCTGAAAGTATAGCTTTCAGTGACCAAAACAGCATTAGTTGCCAAAAGTAAAGCTTTTTGGCGACTAAACAATTTTAGTAGCCAAAATTCTACAATTGGCGACCAAAACTAAGTTTGGTCGCTGATTATATGGGTTTTAGTGACTAAAAAACTTTTAGTAGCCCAAAGTAAAGTTTTTGGCGACTAAAAAAATTTAGTAGCCAAAAGTCTACAATTGGCGACTAAAAATAAGTTTGGTCACTGATTATATGGGTTTTACCGACTAAAAAAATTTTAGTAGCCAAAAGTAAAGCTTTTTTGTGCCAAAAAAAATTTTAGTAGCCAAAAGTCTACAATTGACGACTAAAAAATAAGTTTAGTCGCCAAAAGTGGTCCTTTTTAGCACGGGAGAACTAAAATCCTAAGACGGGAATTAAATTTTTTGGCGACCAAAATTTTGGTAGCTAAAAGTGCATCTTCAGTGACCAAATCCGATTTTGGTCGGCAAAAGTTAAGTTTTTTAGTAACTAAAAAACAATTAGTAGCCAAAAGTATAGAATTTGGGACTAAAAAATATTTTTAGTCGCCAAAAGTGGTCTTTTTTTATTTTGCTAGTAAATAGTTTATTTTACATAAATTATGTTCAATAAAATAATTATGTTTATACATATACTTTTATATTAATATGGATGTATGTACTATATAAATAATATATGTTGCATATATAATCATGTGGTGCTATAGAGGTGTAGTGGGAAGAGTGTGGTGTATAAGGTTTATGGTGTGGGAGGTTGGCGGTTCGAGTATCCGTAAGAACGGATCAAATTGTTCTACAATGAATTATCGTCACGAATGACACTTGATAGCGTCACGAATAGTACCTACCATGACATTAAAGTGTCACTGAAAGGTTTTAATTTTGATGGTGTAACGACACTTATAAGTGTCACTAACTCTTTTTTTAATAGCGCTTGATAGTGCCACAAATAATATCTACCATAACATCAAAATGTCATTGAAAGTTTTTAGCCATGATAGTGTAGTGGCACTTGCAAGTATCTACCGTGGCACGGATACAAATGGCACTTGTTCAAAATGCTACAAGACTAAAAAATGTCATTAAACTAATAGTTTTGTGGCACTTTCAAATGTCACTAAACTAAAAAAATGTTGTAGTGTTGTAAGAATATAAAAGTGTAAGTATATTTAAAGTGAAAGTTAAAAGTTGAGATTTTATTTATAACAGAGGATTATTCAATGTGTTTGATTTTAATTTTTTAGATTTAATTTTCTGAAAGTTGAGTTTTTTATTTTTATTTTTTTTAGTGAATATTTTAAAAAATTTAAGCAATTTTTTTATTTTTTTAGATGTACATTACTTAGATCTATCTAAAAAGTAAAATATTTATAAAAAAATTATTTTAGAAAATTAATAAATACACAAGAATACGAAAAATGTACTGAATTGTTGTATTTTTTTGTATTTTTGGTATTTAATGAATTTCTTCAGATTTTTTTCACAAATATTATACTTTTTAACTGTATATATGTTAGGTGTATCTAAAAATTAAAAAATTACTTAGAATATTAAAAAAATTCAGCAAAAACAAAAAAAATTATGAAAAACAAAAAATTTCAATTTTCTGAAAAGTGAATCCTGAAAATCCGAACCAAATAAGCTAATTAGTCTTTACTAGGATTGAAACAGACTCAAGCTCAACTCGATAAGTGTTTGTTTGAATTTGATTTGTTAAATTTTTATTGCGTTCGAACTCGATCTCGAGCTCGTTAAAATCTTAATAAATAAATACAAACATACTAAAACTTGACTCGTTAGCTCGGCTTGTTAATTGGGCTCGTTTGATATCTATTTAAATAATAAAATAAATGGACTATTTATATATTAAATAACGTAAAAATATGTATAAATAATAGGATAAATATGTTATTTATAAATTTCAATAATGAAAATGTAAATAATAGTTAAATTTATTTATATGCAAATAAAAGTTAACTATACATAATACATTTAGATAATAGTGGTGGTAGGTATTATTATTTTGATAAGATATTGATTTTTCTTTTAATATATTGATATATATTGTATATATAACTGTACAATTAAAGTTTTAATTGTAACTTTAGTTTTATACGTAAGTATGAATTTATAATTTTTTTGGCTCATTTAAGGCTCATGAACAAACTTGAATTCAAATCAAGTCTAAACCAACTCGATTCAAGCTCAGTTCGTTAAAATTTTATTAAGATTGAGCTCGAATTCCTTAAAATCTTAAGAAATAAATCCAAACATACTAAAGTTTTACGCGACTCGTTTGCAACCCTACTTACATTTTTGTGTTTTTGCAAATTATTTTCTTTATTTTTCACTTATCTTTGTAATTAATTTTTTATTTCTAATGTTTTGAAAAGTAAAAAAAAAATGATGAAAATTTCTATTTGAAGAAATATGTTTGGTTTACATTTTAGAAATAGTTTTTTTTAACCAAAAAGAGAAACTTCTTTGATAAAAATAATTTTTGAATTTTTAAAATTTGTTTTTGTCTCCTAAAAAGATAAAATTATATGAAAATGATAATTTTATTTTTATTTTTTTTACCAAATTATGTTTTAGTTTTTTAGAATTTTTTTAAGAAAAATTTTAAAAATCAAACCAAACAGAGCCTAAATCCCTCTTACATGGGTGGGCTTTTATTTTGAGGGAAATTATGCCAAAAAAAAAAAAGTTTGGTTTTAAATTTATTAATTTGCAACAAACAATCAAACTATTAAACAACTACATAAATAAACGGGAAAATTACAACCAAAAAACAATATAGTTTGACCCTTATATCAAATTAAACTTTGAGTTTTTAATTTTATCACTTAAAATCTTAAAATTTTGATTTATTTTCAATCTAAATCATTTGTCTATTTTCATTAAGTAAAATTGACACACAAAAAAAATGGTATTTTAGTAATTGAATTCAATAAAAAATAATATTTTAGACATGAAGTAAAATTGACCCCCCAAAAAAATGATATTTTAGTAATTAAACTCAATAAAAAAAATGGTATTTAGACATCTTATGTATACTTACATTAAGTTTAATAACTAATATATATATATATATATATTGTCATTTTTGCTTAACAAAAACAAACGAATGGTTTAGATTGAAAATAAAACAAAATATTGAGAATTTAAATTAATAAAATTAAAAATTCAAGATTTATTTTGTTAAAGACTCAAATCTTGGAATTTTCTTTTTGTAATTATTTCTAAATAAATATATTGAAAATTATTTATAAAAGAAAAGGGTGAAATACCAATAAATCTCAAAATGTGATCTTATAAACTGTTTAGCCTATCAAATTTTTTTTCATGAATCCAAAAATTCTATTAAAGTAGAAATTACCCAAAAGAGTAGTCACTTACACGTTTGGAGTTATTGTTTGAAGAATAAAAATGCGTTTATCTAAATGTGAAATTACACATTTGGGCAATCCGTATTATAAAGGTTTTGGATTTTTCCTCATTCTAGAACAAATTTTACATTATGAACAAAAGCGTAACATTTTAATGTAATACATTAAAAATTTTTGTAGTGTATTTTTTCAAAACGTAACAACATAGCACTTTAAAAAAATTATTTAGTGTACTTTTCTCAAACATAACACTTTAAAAAAAAAATAACGTAACACTCCAAAAAAGTACTTAGTGTATTTTTCCTAAACGTAACACTTCAATATAATATACAAAAAATTTCTTAATTTGCTTTTTCCAAACGTAACACTCCATTCAATGTAATCCCAAATATAACACTCCAATATATCACATACAAAAACATTATAAAAAAAAAAAAAAAAATTAGTACACATTTCTCAAACATAACACTCACAGTTTGAAATTATACATTTGCCTAAAGTTTAATAAGGAATTTTTGTACTCCATTTGGAATGGTTTGAAAGATCCACATACTTTTTTTTGAGTGTTACATTAGAATATTACGTTTGAAAAAAGTACACTAAGGGGTTTTTTATGTGTTACATTGAAGTATTATATTAAATAGTTTTTTTAGAATGTTATATTGGTGTGTTATGTTTGGAAAAAGTACATTAAGGAATTTTTTTAGAGTGTTATGTTTGAGTGTTACATTGTGCCTGTTTGGCAGAAATTATTTACAGCTTATTTCAGCTTTCAGCTTAATTTAAGCTATTTTGATGTGTTTGGTTTAACTTATAGCTTATAGCTCATAGCTTTGTGGAAGTCAGAAAGCAGCTTATTCTTTGAGTGGGGTAGGAGATGCTTTAAGAATAAGCTGGAAATCAGCTTAAGCTGAAAGTTATAAGCTATAAGCTGTTTAGGCATAAGCTATAAACACTTTCCCACAGCTCTACCAAACAGGGCTATAAGGAGTGCAGTGTGTAAATTAACATAAAGTATTCTGCAAAAACGTGTAAATAGGGGTAAAAGATAAACACACTCACGTAGCGCACACGAACACACAAGCCCTCTTCTTCGACAATGGAAGAAGCCTTCTTCGATTCACAGCTCCTTCAATTCTCCGAGCTCTGAACCCACCCAATTGAATAAATCGATTATTTTTATACAATTAAACTCACAAAAGGTGTTCAATAATGGACGTCGATCCTCGACAGTACGAAAACATTGTAAGTGTTTTTGTTTTTTTGTTATCTGTTCATGATTGTATAAGAAGCCCTAGAAAGAATTGAATGGTTTGGTGATTTTGTTCTTCAATCAGATCGTTGATGTTGACTTTCTTGGGAACCCTAGTTTCTGTGTGTTTGCAAATCTGGGAAGTTGCAGAACGGGGTTGTATAGATAGTATCATAGTATTGGAACGTATGAATTCTTTCTCTGGGTGCCCCCAATTGATGGTCTGTAATAGTTGCATCTGTGGAAATTAGATTGGGTCAACGACTTTATTTTCTTTGTTTTTGTAGTCTATTTGGTGTTTTTACATATTGTTATGACTGATAAAAAAAAATAAATGTTGGTTATACTGATTGATTAATTCTACACAAGTTGGAGATGGGTAGATGATTTGAAATAAAAAAGAAGAAAAAATTGACACCTTTATTTATGGATTCTTTGGATTGGAGGTGAACAAGAAGAGGTTTACATAGGTTTTGGGGCCTGAACACAGGAAGGGGACCAATTTGACATGCATAATGAAGTTTGTAGAACTAGAATAGACAAAAAGAAGAAGAAGATTGATTTACTCAAGATTGACGATTAACTTGCCTTGAATTTCTGATTATTAGATTGTTAGAAGGCAAAATGTTATAATTTTGAGATCTTGGCGATTGTATGTATGTAGTATCTCTCTCTGTCTGTTGAGGTTTTTCTAAGATGTCAGCGGGCCTTTCATATTTCTTTACTGTGTATAGGGAGAAATTAGTAGTTGTGCCATTAACTTGAACTTACTCGTGGAGGTTGGTTTGACATTTGGAAGGACATTGTACTGTCTGGTCAAGCATTTAATTGTAGTACATAATTAGGGATGCAGCCTGAAGAACCTGTTTTTATGATTAGGTATTGACATGGAGAAATGTTTATTAAGAAAATTGCTTTCTATTATTTTGCAAAATAACAAACTGTTAGAGTCATCCTGCCAAAGTTAGAGATGGTGCTTGGTTATGGTAGCCTAGGAATGTAGGCTGCATTATGCATATCATGTTGCCCATAGCATCTCTCCTGCAATGATGGTTCATGGCTTACTTTCGAAAATTATTGATATTTTTTGTGCGATGGGCAGTTGATATACTTCTTGTAATTGGTCTTTCTTTCCTTCAATTTTGTTTTGGGTAACTTTCCTTCAATTTAACAACATTGATTTACAAATTGACAAATTTTTACTTGTCTTAGCAAACTGCCTTTATTTTTTTTGTCAGATTAATGTCTTTAAAATTTCTCTATTGCTTAATCTTTTAAAAATTATGTTACATGAATTTGGGTGCATGTGCATTTCCAAGTGGTTAGACTTTTTTAAGACTTTTAGGATATTGTGATATGTATCTAGAAGTTGGGTATGGGTACATGGACTTGTCATAATCACTTATATGTGTTGCATATTGTATAATATTTTTAGATAAGATAATGTAAATTATTTAGAAATGTTTAGATGGGTGGTTGGCTGCTCCGGACCTTTTCCCTCCCTCTAATGTTTCCTTCAGGTTTTTGCACCAGGATGTTTGATTATATGATTGTGTATATGCTATAGTTTCTGTAATTGAGCACCAAAGACAAAATTCCTCATTGATGTTGCTTTAGTCTGAAGTCTGTTCAATGTGCTCTATATTTAAATTCTAATAGTTTTTGACATTATGTGTTTGACAGGTTGTCAATGACAATGACATACACAACATTGTCCTATCGTATCTTGTGCACAATTGCTACAAAGAAACTGTGGAGTCATTCATTGCTTGTACTGGGATGAAGCAGCCGACCAATCATCTTGAGGATATGGAGAAAAGAAAACGTGGGTGATGTTATTTTTTCTTTTAATATATTGTTAGGAAAGTATGACTCTCAACTTCATTTGTTGCTCTTGGACCACGTAGCTCACTTGTGTTAATCTCTGAGGTTGCGCCTATTGGTGTCAAAGTCCAATTTGAGTTTGATTCATAAATTAAGTCATGACATGCTTTTGGTAATAGAAATAACCTCTCAAGATAGACAAAGGTCTAGATTTTAATTGATAAAAGAATGAAATTTCATTTGACCATGTGCTTACATAAGTGTGGGAGCCGAATAAGTAGAAGAGTCGGAAGATGCGTACTCCAGAAATTAGATACTATCCGGCTTCATGTTGCGTGACTAGGACGCCGAATACGTTAGGAAGGCCGAATAGACGGAGGTCAGTGGCTCCGAATGAATAAAAGGGGAATGGGATAAAAGTAGGCTCAGGCCCCGAGGCCCAAAAAGCAAGTATAAATACAAGAACCATAGATTTAGAAAGG